GTAATAATCGCTTTCAGTATTTTCCCAACGATGGATGTTAGACTAACTGGCTTAGACTTCCTTGCTTTCTGTCCCCCTCCTTTCTTGAGATGTTACATTACAGTTTTCCAATCTGCTGGGACCATTCCAGAATCCAGGAAATTTTGGAACCACATCTGTTGAGAACGGGTCATCAGGCCCAGGGGAATTGTCAGCCCTTAGTGCCATTTATTTTCTCTATAGTTTTTCTCAGTCTTTGTAACTGTTTTCAGTCCCTCCCTTCCTTTTGCCTCTTGATTTTCTATCATTTTTGGAATGCCTTTTGTGTTTTCTAAAATAAAGACGGATACAAAATACTTGTTCAAAGTCTGGCATTTCTTTGTATCGCATTATTGATTCCCTAGTCTCACTCTCTTAGGGGTCAGCACTAACTTTAGCACCTCTCTCCCTTTTGTATATAATTGTAGGAGCTCGTACTGTCTGTTTTTAAACTTCTGGCTAGTCGTAGAGTCATACAGCACGGAAACAGACCCTTCGGTCCAACTCGTCCATGCCAACCAGATTACCCAAACTAAACTAGTCCCATTTGCCTGCGTTTGGTCCATATTCCTCTAAACCTTTCTGTTTCATGTACTCATCCAGATGCCTTTTAAATGTTGTAATTGTACCAGCCTCCACCACTTCCTCTGGCAGCTCATCCCATACACGCACCACCCTCTGTGTGAAAAAGTTGCCCCTCAGGTCCCTTCTAAATCTTTCCCCTCTCACCTTAAAAATATCCCCTCTAGTTTTGAACTCTCCCATGCTAGGGAAAAGACCTTTGCCATTCATCTTATCTGTGCCCTTCATGATTTTATAAGGTCACTCCTATGCTCCAGAGACAAAAGTTTCAGCCTATCTAGCCTCTCCTTATTACTCAAACCCTCCAGTCCTGGTAACATCCTTGTAAATCTTTTCTGCACCCTCTCCAAATTTAATAATATTTTTCCTACAGCAGGGTAACCAGAACTACACACAGTACTCACCAATGTCCTGTACAACTGCAACATAATGTCCCAACTCCTATACTCAATGGTCTGAGCAATGAAGGCAAGCATGCTAAACACTTTCTTCAATAACTTTTCCTTTAATTCCTGCCACTTCCTACAAACCAAAGGGGTGGCTATGGGCACCTGTTTGGGTCCGAGCTATACCTGCCTCTTCGTAGGATATGTGGAACAGTCCCTTTTCCGCTGTTACACCGGCACCATCCCTCACCTCTTCCTCCGCTACATCGATGACTGTATCAGCAGTGCCTCGTGCTCCCATGAGGAGTATGAACAGTTCATCAACTTTACCAACACCTTTCACCTCAACCTCAAGTTCACCTGAACCATCTCTGATATCTCCCTCTCCTTCCTGGACCTCTCTGTCTCCATCTCTGGTAACCACCTCGAAACTGACATCAATTTCAAGCCCACCAACTCCCACAGCTACCTAAACTACACCTTCTCTCACCCACCCTCCTGCAAGAATGTGATCCCCTACTCCCAATTCCTTCGCCTCCGCCGCATCTGCTCCCAAGATGGGGCGTTCCACTCCCGAACATCCCAGATGTCCTCGTATTTCAAGGACTGTAACTTCCCCCCTCTGGTGATCGAAAATGCCCTCAACCTTGCAGCTCTTGCATTTCCTGCACTTCTGCCCTCACATCCCCTCCCCCCAACAAAAATAAAGACAGAATCCCCCTTGTCCTCACATATCACCCCACCAACCTCCACATCCACCTATCTGCCACTTCCACCACCTACAATCCGACCTGACCACCAAAGAGATATTTCCCTCCCCACCTCTATCTGCCTTTCGTAGGGACTACTCACTCCGTGACTCCTTCGTCCGCTCCACACTCCCCACCAACCCCACCACCCCCGGCACCTTTCCCTGCAACCGCAGGAAGTACTACACCTGCCCCTACATCTCCCCCCCTACTTCTTCTCCATTCAAGGCACCAAACAAACCTTCCACATTAGACCGGGGTTCACCTGCACATCCGTCAACTTGGTCTACTGTATCTGTTGCTCCAATGTGGCCTCATCTACATCGGTGAGACCAAATGTAGACTCAGGGACAGATTTGCAGAGCATCAGCGTTCTGTACATGACAAACGACAACACCTTCCAGTCACCAACCATTTTAACTCCCCCTCCCACTCCCTGGGTGACATGTCCATCCTGGGCCTCCTCCAGTGTCGCAATGACACCACATGCAAACTGGAGGAACAACACCTCATATTCCACCTCGGGAGCCGACAGCCTTAACATAGAATTCCCTAGTTTCAAAATCTCCCCACCCCCAGCCTCATCCCATGTCCAACCCTCCCTCTCATCCTCACCTCCTTGACCTGACACAACCTGTCCATCTCCTTCCCCACCTATCTGCCCCACCCTTCCCACTGACCAATCCCCACTAACCCTACCTGCATCCACCCATCACCTTCCCACCTACCTTCCCCCAGCCCCACCCCTCTTTCCTCAATTTATTTCCCAGCTCCCTTCCCCCTGATGAAGGATCTAGGCCTGAAACATCGACTCTCCTGCTCCTCTGATGCTGCCTGACCTGCTGTGTTCATCCAGCTCCACACTATCGACCACCCTCTTCACCACCCTGTCTATATATGATGCCACTTTTGAGCTATTCACCCTTATCTTCTAAATTAACCGAATTTGTTTGTTTTAGATATCTTTTGCTAGTTTATAAAATTTTCCCAATCTACTGGTCTGTCACTAAAATTACTGTGTTATATATCCTTTTTTTCAACTTGACACCATCCACAACTTCCTGAATTAGCTACAGATGGTATATCCTTCTTGTAAAGTCTTTTTCAGTGGAATATATTTAAATTTAAGACATACATTTGAGACCCAAATTTCTCATCCTGAAACTGAACGTGAAAATCTCACATGTTATGATCACTCTTACCTAGAAGATCCTTAGCTATGAGGTCATTAATTAATCCTGTCTCATTACAAATTGTCAGATTTAAAACAGTCTATTCCCTGGTCCACAAATACACTCTATGAACTAATCTTCAAAACTATTTTGCCAGTTTGATACATCCAAACTACAACTAAAATCTCCTACAGTTATTGCAGCACATTTCTTACAAACCCCCATTATTTCTTGATTTATACTCTGCCCTACAGTGTAGTTACAGTCAGGGATGCTTAAACCACTCCTACTGTGACCCCTTTCCATTGCTATTTCTCATTTCTATCCAAACATAAGAACAAAAGAAATAGGAGCAGGAGTGGGCCATCTGGCTCTTTGAGCCTGCTCCACCATTCAATAAGATCGTGGCTGATCTTTTCATGAACTCAGCTCCACTTACCTGCCTGCTCACCATAACCCTGAACTTCGTTACTGTTCAGAAATCTGTCTATCTTTACCTTAAAAACATTCAATGAGACAGTCTCAACTGGGCAGGGAATTCCACAGATTCACAAATCTTTGGGTGAAGAAGTTCCTCCTCAACTCAGTCCTAAGTCAGCGCCCCGTTATTTTGAGGCCAAGCCCCCTAGTCCTGGTTTCACCTGCCAGTGGAAATAACCTCCTGCTTCTATCTTATCTATTCCCCTCATAATTTTATATGTTTCTATAAGAACCCCCCTCACTCTTCTAAATTCCAATGAGTATAGTCCCAGTCTACTCAATCGCTCCTCATAAGCCAACCCTCTCAACTGCAGAATCAAGCTAGTGAACCTCCTCTGCACCCCCTCCAGTGTCAGTACATCCTTTCTCAAGAGACCAAAACTGTACACATCACTCTAGGTGTGGCCTCATCAGCACCGTATACAGCTGCAGCATTACCTTCATATTTTTAAACTCCATCCCTCTAGCGATGAAGAACAATATTCCATTTGCCTTCTTAATTACCTGCTGCACCCACAGACCAACATTTTGTGATTCATGCACAGTAACACCCAGGTCCCTTTGCACAACAGCATGCTGCAAATTTTCACCATTTCAATCTGATTCTACATCTTGACCTTTTGAACCAAGATCTAATGATCTCACCCTATATTATCAGAGCCACCCCATCTCTTTTCCTAGCTTCCTGTCCTTTCAAAGTAGAAAAACTCTTTGAATATTCAAATCTTAACTTTGATCACTTTGTGACCATGCCTCTATAATAAATATCAGATCAGACTCATTTATTTGTTTTATCAGTTTGACCATCTTGCTCTGAATGCTCTATGTATTCAAATAAAGAGACTTTAATTCTGGCTTTGGACTATTTGTCTCTACTTTGACCATATTTCCTGGTACACTATTGTGTTTGTGCAGTCTATCACTTCTAGTCACACTCTGGTTATCATTACCTGAATTGCTATCCTGAAATTAATTCTTGCCCTTTTTTGTTAACTTTTCAAATCTTCCCTCACTTGATCCTTCCCTCCCACTCCCCACTCCCCACAATTCAGCCTAAGGTCCTCTCTACAGCCCAGGTTAGACATCTTGCTAGCACACTGGTCCCAGTGCAGTTCATGTGAAGCCTTTGCCACCAGTATAGCTCTGACTTGCTGCAGTGCCCCATCAATTGAAACCCATTTCACCCCCGGCAATCTGAGCCACATATTCACTCTCTGATCGGACATGCCCTACGCAAATTAACCTCTCTCAGGTAGCAATCCGGAGATGATGACAATTGTGGCAATTTTGTCCCTAGGAGCTCATGATCTCTAAGCAGAATGTCTTTCTTAGTGCTAGCTTATAGTAAGCCCCCACGTAATGTGTTTTGCTTTGATGTTGCTAAGTTGACAGGGCCTGTATTTCCACTTACCCTCACAAGATTCGCTTTAACATCATTTTCCGCCAGTCACACATTGGGCCATAAGTCCTTATTGGAGCAGCTTCTGTCTTCCCTGACCCTCTGAACTTTGACCTCTCATCCTCCCTGATCCTTTGACTTAAGTCCTTTCCCTGACCCTGGCTCTCTGGCTGTGGCCTCTTCCCATCTCTGACCCACTTCCTCACTCCTGCTAAGTTCCAGATGTGAGCTGTTAGATCTCTAAGGGTTGTGAAAGTGTGAGTCCTTATGGTGTAGAAATACTGAGCTGGAACTTTAGTCATCAATACTCCTAAACAAAAATGTTGAATCTGCTCGTCCTGCCTCTTATCCCTCGTCACTAGAAATTCTACTCACATGACTGCCACCTGGGACAAAGTACCCAGATAACTCACCCCTCCCTCATGTACTGCAGTGTCTGAAGCTCAGACTTCAGCTTGTCAACTTTGAGCAGAAGTTCTTGCAGATGTGGCTGCTGTGGTTCGCACTGGTGCCCAGCAGCTCCAACACACTACAGCTGTAACACGTCACCAACTCTGCCATCTTTGTTTTGTTGTATTTAACTAGAGTTTGACCTTTAGAAATCTCGATCCAGGATTATTTGTATTTAAAATGGTTTAACGACTTACCCTTTAAATTTAAGACAGTGCTTATACTTTCCTGCCCTAGTTTAGAGGAAAAAACCTGATCAGTCACTGTTTAGCCTCTGGACTTCAGCCTGCAGGTATTTCACTTCCTCAATGCTCCTCGCTGTATTAATGACCAGAACAGTATCTCTTCCCTCGCTTGCTAAATCACCCAAAATTTAGGCACCTCCGTCAAAGCAGAATTGCAGCAAGCTGGGCTCTGTGCTGCTCATTCCACATCCCATTAATGTGAGCATTGGCTAAAGGTTTGTGAATGAACTCACACACTTTGTCGACCTTTCATGAGGAGAGTTGGCAGATTGGATACACAATTGGCTTGATGGTAGGAAGCAGAGAGTAATAGTGGAAGGATGCTTGTCTGACTGGAGGCCTGTGACCAGTGGTGTACCTCAGGGGTCGGTGCTGGGCCCATTGCTGTTGGGTGAGAATGTACAAGGCAATGATTAGTAAGTTTGCGGATGACACTAAAATAGGACAGTGGACAGTGAGGAAGGTTATCAGGATCTTAATCAGCTGGGGAAATGGGCCGAGAAATGGCAAACGGGGTTTAATATAGGTAAGTGTGAGGTGTTGCATTTTGGAAAGTCAAATCAAGGTAGGAGTTTCGTGGTAAATGGTAAGGCCTAAAGGAGTGTAGTGGAAGAGAGGGACCTTGGAGTTTAGGTGCATGGTTCTCTGAAAATGGAGTCACAGGTAGACAGGGAAGTGAAGAAGGCTTTTGGCACACTGGCCTTCACCAGCCAGGGTATTGTGTATAGAAGTGGGAAGTTATGTTGCAGTTGTACAGGAGATTGGCGAGGCTGCACCTGGAGTATTGTGTTCAGTTTTGGTCACCTTGCTATAGGAAGGATGTTATTAAACTGGCAAGTGTGCAGAAGCTTTTTATAAGGATGTTGCCAGGACTCGAAGGACTGAGTTAAAGGGAGAGGTTGGACAAGCCAGGCATTTTTCTTTAGAGTGTATGAGACTGAGGGAGGGTATTATAGAAGTGTATAAGATTATGAGAAGCATGGATAGGGTGAATGCACTCAGTCTTTTTCCCAGGGTTGGAGAATCGAAGACTAGAGGACATCAGTTTAAGGTAAGAGGGGAAAGAATTCATGGGAACCTGGGGGCAACTTTTTTACACAGAGGGTGGTATGCATATGGAATGAGCTGCCAGCGGAAGTGGTTGAGGTGGGTACATTAACAACATTTAAAAGGCATTTGGACAAATACATGGATAGGAAAGGTTTAGAAGGATATGGGCCAAGTACAGGGAAATGGGGCGAATGTAGATGGACATTTTGGTCAGCATGGACCAGTTTGGGCCGAAGGACCTGTCTCTGTGCTGTAAGACTGTTCCACAAGATCATGCCTGATCTTTGACCTCAGCACCTAACTTGCTGCACTGTCCCCATTTTTCTTAATTTGTTTCATATCTAAACATTGATTAATATCTGCCTTGAATGTACTCAAATGCCAACAATCCACAGCCCTCTGGAGCAGAGAAACAGAGTTTTGAGTCCAGTGTGACTCTTATTCAGAACTGAAAGGAGCTGGAAAATAGGTCAAAAATAGAAAAAGAACCTATTTTGCAACACCTTTGGATTCTGAAGAAGGCTCATTGGAGTCAAAACTCAGTATTTCTCTCTGCAGATGTTGCCAGACCAGCTGAGTTTCTCCAGCTTTGTCTAAAGTCTAGTCAGTTAACCATGAGGTGGAATCCCATAAGCCCTGCATCTCAACATCAAATCAAAGCAAAACAAAACCTTTGCTAGTCAGTTTGCTGTGGATCATGACTGTGTGACGCCCAAATTCTGACAGGAAGCAGTTCAGAGCTGACCCAAGCTTCAAACCCTCATCAGTTTGGGAAACCCCTGAACACTTCCTTCTTGCTTGCCCCTCCCCACCGACCAAGAGCTAATCACATTGTCTGTTCGGTCAACAGAAACCGTATATCTGTAAGATTCCGTACTGCACCAAACGATACACTGACCCCAGCTCACTACGAAAACATGTGAAGACTGTGCATGGACCTGAGGCACACATAACGAAAAAGCAGCGTGGGGACATCAATGTGAGACCGTCTGCAACACAAGATGGAGCGAGATCATTGCCGGGACAGGATGGAGATGCTGCCCATG